TATTAAATAGTAAAAATGTAAAATATATTGGAGAATAAGAGAATTTGAGAAGATGAAGAAGATGAAGATGATTAGAGAGTAGAGAAGGTGTGAAAAAATGTTTAATATTAGGAGTATTTATAGGTTTTTTTTAATGGGTAAAAAAAACTAAATATACATATTCATATTTTGTTCTCACTTTTTTGAAAGTTCGACCCTTTGAACTTACTACGGGTCTAGCCGTCTAGGTTCCAACAACCTGCTTCTGCCCAGGTTTTTGGATCTTCTGCTCTCCAACCAGGGCCGGCTTAACCAGTTAAGAGGCCCGGTGCTATTTATTCAAGTTAGGCCTTATATATACTACTACTAGAAATTAGATCGCGCGTTGCGCGATTGTAATATGCCCAATACTACAAATTGTTTTATTTTTTGTGAGTTTGGTATCATCAGTTGTAAATCATTTTAAGCATGTGTCAGTATAAAATTTGTTAGATGTTCTATGTTTGGTGAAGTTGCACACAGTTAACAAATGAGCAAATAATATTGTTTTGTGACTTCAGAATGAGAAATACTACACATAAATTTTCACATGTTCTACACAGAAATCCTATATGTTGCACAATGTTTTTTTTGTACTTCTAAATCAACATTGTGACACATTATACATAGTACTATATGTTTTAGGCATGAGTGGATGATCATAAGTGCTTGAGTACGTATATGAGACAAAAGCTTAAAGCATTATTATATGGTGTATGAAATAAAGATTGTACTCGTTCATTGCATAAATAAAAGAGCAAAACCCATATATATGTAATAATAAGGACTTGCTTTGTTTTTCATACAAAATACTTCCTCCGGTTCATAATTAAGTTCATGGTTTGACTTCACACATATTAAGAAATAAATTTGACTTTACTGTGGAGTGCACTGTTTGGCACTGTTTGGACACTGTTTGACACTGTTTGAACACTGTTTGGCACTGTTTGGCATTGTTTTGGTGTAAATCATTTGCCAAATAAGGAAAGATTTGAACTAGGAACTTTAATATGGACCATCCCAAAAAAGAAAATAGGAACTTAATTACGGGACAGATGAAGTAGTCTTTTTTCCTAAGGACCTAAAGGATACTGTTTTACTTTTATAACATGTTCAATGGTGATAAAGTTGGCTGGCCTAAGGAGGCTTGTCCTTAAAAAACACTCTTTTTATAGTAACTGGGAGTAAACGTTAAATGTGCAGGAGTAAGAGTTATATATTTATTATCCGCAAAACAGGACTGATTTAGAAGTACAAAAAAATAAAAAATAATGGAAACTTATTTTTCTTCCATGATCTGAGTGATTTTTCCAAAAAATAGTGAACTAAGTTGATGGAATGCACTATTTTGTATTTGCACCGTACCTATGGTATATTATTGGTCCTAATTTTTTACCAAAGAGCTGAAATGAGATGTATGACATGTAATCAAATGCAGAAATTGAGAGGATCCTTCACAGAGCATTTGGTTGAGTGTATGTGAAATTTTATCAATCAAACACCACATCTTTACATTCAGTTTCTATCTTGACATTTCATCAAACACATATCATGCGTAAGTTTGAGTATTATATGAAGTTTTCATTCCTATGAAGGTAATAAAAAACGCATCCACGTGAATTCATACCATGCATTACAAGTGGCTTGACTTTAATATTCATGTATGCATAAAGAAACGTAAACAGAACAATAGAAAAGAAACATAAGAACATTATAGACACGCACCTCTGCAGCAAATTACCAACTAAGGCTATGATAAGGACTAATGATGATCGATAAACATGAACTATTGGCGGGGAGAATAGAAAAACTCACCCGCAAGTGTTGACCAGGCCACGTGAAAAAGATGAGGAACGTAACCGAAGGAAATTCCCATTTATATAGGAACTGGAGCGAATCTGAAACTGAAATATATATCATTCAATAGAATTTAGTTGTGATGCTCCAACTTCTCAAACGCACCTGGGAAGATGATGTCGATTTGGGTTCACAAACGGATTCGCAAAAAGCAGTCCATATTACGGAGTACGTAGTAGCTAGTTTTTTATGGAGTGACCGGTAGACTTACGCCGTTAACCAGTTAACGGTGTGTTAACATTTCACTGATGCACAATACCTAGAGTATGACAATAAAAGCACAATGTACATCCTGATACAGGTCATACAGCAAAGTGCAAGAGGGCAGAACACTCCAACTAAGCATTTAATAACAATAGCTGTCCTTTATTATAATAGGTTAAGATTAAAGCAATACATTTTTGTTCTGCTCTTTTTCAAAATAAAATCCTTTAAAAAACATTACTGGTAAAAGCTACTCGTAATATGTACATAAACAACATATTTAATATATTACTGACCATGAAACTTAATCTTAGTACATGAAAATTTTAGTCAAATTAGCTAGGCAACATCCCTATGGTACCGGTGCACTTCTTGAATTTAGAAACAGATCTACCAGCATAAATTTGATCAACTTCTACTAAAATTGAGCAACAATATAACTAATTACTTCAAAAAAGTATATAAAATGTTGCAATCGACCATCACTATCAGACTCTAAGCTTGACAAAAGATCATCACTAAAAAGGACATCAAAAACTGAAAATAAATTAACCGCAAATATAAATCGAGAAATAGGAGAAGAAGCAATTCACTTTACCTATTTTTAACATAAATCCATAAGAATTTGAAAAGAATCCTAACAAACTTGGAGAATTGATTTGCAGCAAAATTATGAATAATGTAAGAATATAGATTACTTAATGATTAATTAGCTTGAATATGAGAAAATATGCAGCCGATTGTCTTTGAGAGTTGAGACTAACGTTAGGCCTTGTAAGTAAAATAGATAATGCCGTTTGGGTTGAAAACCTTTATGCTCTAATTTATATGCTAAATACTAGTAATTAATACTTATATACGGAGTATATAATTATATACTATATTTATTTTAAAAATATGGGCCTACTTATTTTTGAGGCCTTGTGCAAATGTCTGCTTGCACAGCCTTATCTACGGCTCTGTCTCCAACCAAAACAGTCAGTTAGAGCCGCAGGATGAGTGATCTACCCTCACTTTCCTCTTCTATAGACCTTATCTATTGTATTTAGAAACATCTAAGAGTTTCAAATGGACCAAATTGGACACTATTATTACTTGTGTATCTCATATTGGATACTAACGTTTCAAATAGTTTAAATTTTACGTTTTTTCTCATCATTTTCAGACACCCAATTAATGTATTCCCTCTTCGTTTAATGTACCTAAAAATAAAAATAACTTAATTTGTGTATTTAGATTTAGAATATTTAATTAGATGTTCCAATTAAGAAAATCTATTATAATGTAATTAAATTCTTTAATATTGTTAAATCAATTTAACAAATCGATATTTCTTAACTAAAGTTCCATAACAATCATATGAATGAAAGTCCTAAATATTATTTTAAAATTGTTAAATATAAGAAGTTATTAATTAAAATCAAATTATATATTCAAAAACTTTAAATTAAATATTCCAAAATTATATATGTAATTAAATTAGTTTATGTTCACCAAAAAGGAAAGAAAATATTAGACTAAACTATTTTTATTAAAGAAAGAAGAGAATGATAAGTGAATGTCCAAAAAGCAAGAATTATAAAACTTCAGTGTCCAATATGAGATACATATGTAACCATAATGTCCAGTTTGGTCAATTTGAAACCTTAGTGTCTAATATGAGATTCTCATCAAATCATAGTGTCCAATTTGAGTCTTATCCCTTTTCAACAATGGCGTCTTCTATATTTTGATATGGGAATGTGGATGATGAAAAACGTGCAGAACAGCACTTAAAAGGTGGGTGGTAGAAAATTTTCCTTTTGCCGTCCTTGGAAAAGTTCATCCTAGCACTTGATGCATGTGGTTTAATGGAAGCAAGAACCGATGAAATCATGAAAGCATCGTGCTGTTGTTCTTCCTAACGCTATGTTTGGGAATTCGGGAAAGGGAAGAAAAGATTTTGAAGGTAGTTTTTTTTTTAGAGTTTGAATGTAAGTTGTTGGAGCCGTGGAGGGGAAGAGGAGAAAGTCACGAAACTCGTCTTCTTATTTGGAAGTCGACAAGTCGTTGAAAGAATTATTATTAAAATCATTTCTCAGATGAATTCAAATATATAATCGAATTGATATTCATTTCAAATTGAGCGAGCTTACACTATTATTTGATTATATTTATCCATCAAAATTCACATTTTGAAGGAACTTAAAAATTGAGCATTTAGAGAGCTTTGGAGGGTCATAAAAACCTTCCAAAAACACAACTTTTAAAACTATCAAATACAAATAAGAGGGTCATAAATTTTCACATGTCTTTTCCTCTCTTCCAATAACCAACTTCCAAACACACCCTTAGGGTATGAGTGAGGAGGGTTTATCCTCCCTTTCTTGTTTGGGTGTTTAAAAAATACTGCATAGGAAGGAATGATTTTGGAGAGTTTATGTGACAATCAATTTTTAAATTCACCAGATAGGAGAGTTTTAAATTATAATTAATTATCTAAATGACAACTTAAATTCCATTTAAAATAAATACGGAGTATTAGTTAAACTATTTGAATTCGTCATATCTTAGAAGAGATTTTAAGTATTTTCAAACCAATAGGTATTTGCCTATTTCTCAATTTTAATATTCTCAATATAAATTAAAGATTCAAGGTTTACTCAAAGATGCAACAAAAATTTGATAGGATGTTGTTTAACTATGATGTGGGGAACCACTCCTATGTGTAGGAATTTATAACAAAGGATATAAAGTCAAACATGAACGGTTGACAATAAGGTTACTAGCACAAAAACTCTTGGTGTACACCCTAGGTTACACCCTGGGTACACCATATATAAGAGGCTAATTTTTTTTACCCCATCCTCCCACTACACCTTTCGCACACATTAACGTGTGTCTTGAGCTATAAAAACGCCTCTACCCCCTTCAAAAATCGAACGCCTCTTTCCCGCATCCCCAGCCATTCTCGCTCCGCCTTCCTCACTTCGTACAACAACAATTCCGGCCAATATCCCACTCCTCTGTGTTTCCCTCATCTCTCGAACCCATGACCGACCTCCATCTCTGTCACCGGTCCATTCTCCAAGTACAAGGAATGACGACCGGCCTCCATCTCTATCCTCGGTCTGTCTTCAAACGCTGTGGGAGCTTGCCTCTTCGAAACCCAGAGCGGCAAACATGGTGCGAACCAGCCTCCCCGAAATGGCCAAACGGTATGTACTTAGGAAAAATCTTGATTTTTTTTTTGTTTTACCTTTTATATTTGACTTGAATATAGTGTTTACCGTTTCTTCAATGCCAGTTTGTTGTGTTTTGAAATTGGTTGTATGTGTGTTCCAATTGCGGTGTTTGTGTGAGTGTGTGACCTTAGGGTTTGAATAGTAGGTGTTTGTGAGGTGTTATTTAAGATTACAGAAAGTTGCAGAGTTACACCATCAACTTAATCAGCAGCGCCAAAATTACTTTGATCCTCTAGCTGATGCTTCTGATCGTTTTCAACATCCCAAAACGATAGCCCTCAACTGAAATACTTTCAGCAAGATTTTGACACAACCCTTGCTTTCTGTAATCATGAAAGGAAACAAAGGACTGATGAGGTGAGTGTGATAGATTAGAACTGAAGAGTAGCCTTGGAACTTATTTGCAATTCAATGCATATGAAATTGTGGCCGTAATATTTTCACTTTGTTATACTGTGCTACCTTAGGTTTCTTATGAATTCTCTTGCTCTTGTTTTTTTAACAGTTAGTCATATGAACTATGAAGATATGTTTTGCAAAAAGAAAAAAAGTGTTTGTGAGTTTGATTTGTGATGTTTAAAAGATTGTGGTAAATAATTCATTATGTCCTTCTCGATATGCACTTCTATTTCATGGTTATGACTTCTCATTTTGAGAGAAATTGGTTGTTGACTTTGTGTTTGCTTTTGATGTAATTGATGAGTAAGGATACTAGTTGGCAGATTCTCATGTGGAAATATAGTGTTTGTTATATGAACACTTAGGATTTTAAATTCCCAGTGCCATCTAAACTGGAATTGTATGTATCCGTGTTCTACTAGTCTCAATTCCTAGTGTACCCTTTTATCGATACATACTTTAAGTAAAGTGCCTAACATTTTTTGTTATAATTTGATATAAATGGAATATATAAATAAGGATGGATGATACACACACATACATGCTTATGCTCTACAATTTTTTTTATATTGATGCCATTTTTGTCTGAAATGTGTTTTACTTGTATTATTGCATCGCCGGAAGCCTTGTATCCAAACCAGTAGTTTTCTCCTATATCAGATCAAGATCACAAATTCATATTAAACTCCAATAGTTCCTCTCATTCACAGTGCATTTTACAGATTTGGGCGCATAAATTAACACGTGAAACTAAATGACCATATTAGCCTCATTGAACTACGTCTCTTTTTCTTCAAAGCTGAAAGTATATTCATCCATTTTAAAATAGTGGTCGATTAACTAAAAGAAATAATGACAGGACTACTAATCCATGCTAGATGAATATCACTGAAAAAACTACCTTAGTTTAGGGCAGGAAGTAACTAAACTTTCACACTTTGTATTTTCAAGCCTAAATCCATAAGCTTTAAAGTTAATTTTGTATCAACAACATTCAGGTCTTACTCCCCAAAAAGTCTGTGGCCATTTAACGTGAATTGACATATGATCATTGTTCTAAAACTCGTTAGGCGCTAGTCGGGCGGTTGAGGGGCGCCTAGCGCCTATGCAGTCGATTTTTGGCCGACTAGGCCGATTTTTTGACCGACTAGGCCGACTAGGCCACTACAGTTAGGGCCGCCTAGGCCGCCTAGGCCGATTAATTGTTCCGCCTAAGCCGATTTTTAGAACAGTGCATATGATACAATTCATTTTTGTGTAAATAATAGTATTGTGTACAATTCCTGATGAAATTGCTTAAATATACACATGTTTTGAAATATAAATCCATTACGTTAATTATTACTACATATTTTATAGTATATAAATGAATAAATAGCAAATGTCTGTGAGTCTTGGTTTTGTGAGTTATATATTACTCTCTGTGACTGTTGTTTAACATGTTCAATTGCAGGGCACTTCAATTGCAAATTCTTGTTAATGAGCATTTCCCGGCCTCTTATTCATTATGCTTCAAGTTTGGAGATGCCGCGAAGTTACTAAATGCTCGTTTGACAAAGGACCAGCTCACCCCATTCAAAGACACTCTGTGGGGTCATTTGCTGGATGCTCCGGACTTGTAATTCTCTGGCCAGATCATCCACATGCTCTTGTTACGCCTAGTGCATCAACAATTCACAGATGAGCTGTGGTTTTGTGTGCGAGGGAAGCTTTTGAAGTTTACTTTCAATGATTTTGTCTGCATAACCGGACAACTATCTACTGGTGAGAGGCCTGAGTTGTCCACTGATCAAAAAGACTGCATTGCTAAGAAGTTCTTCCATGGACGCACTAACATTACATTTCAGCAGTTGAAGAATAGGATGGAAGACTACAAGGCTCCAAGGAGAGGTGATCCACTACAAGGTGTGAAGCTTGCATCTCTGTACTACACACTGTGTGTCCTGCTTTCCAGAGACAAAAGGACCAAAATAAACCCGGATTTTGTGAAATGGGTTGATGACTTTCAGAGTTTCAAGAAGTATCCTTGGGCGATGGAATCATACAATCTGACCGTGACTCACATGAAATCGCTAATGGTAGGCCAACCAAAGTGTTTCAATGAAAACAAGGCCGGCGATCCACTTTATGAAAAAGTGAAGTATACGATGTATGGATTCCCGCATGTGTTACATGTATGATCCAAATTAAACACACCTACTTAAAATTTTTAATAACAAAACAATTAATCATTACTTTTTCCATTTGTATAGGTTTGGCCATACGAGAGTGTACCGAACTTTGCAAAATTAGCCACTACAAAAGTTGCCGAAGAGCCTTGTTCCATGCTTAACTGGAAAGCGGAAGGATATTAGAGTATGACGATGGCGTTTGCGGATCATTTGGCGTTGGAGTATCCTTTGACACCCGGATGTGACCACGACAACATGTGGAACATGAGATGGCAATTTGCGGTGCGCCTATGGCGTATGAAGAAGACTGATGTTTGACACCATTTAATTGACATTATGTTTTGGGTTGTTGTACAATGTTGTACAATAGTGCCGCGCTTTTTGTACAAGGTTGTACATTGGAATGCCAAACTATAATGCTTCCATTTTTTGTCAACATTTTCATGTTTTTGATAAACAATTGTTAATAAATTCAATTGTTACAAGGTCACAACATTTTCATGTTTTGGATCAGCATTTTCAATTGAATATCACCACTCAAATGAATATCATGTTTTGGATAAGCATTACTAAATTCAAACTTTATTACTAAAATATGACACCACTCAAATGAATATCAATTGACACCACTTATTCAAACTTCTTAAGTCTAGTGACTACATTAGAAACTTTAGTTATAGTAACTTTTTTCAATTTTTACACTTAGGTGAACATGACACATACTATAGTAGCTTTTAATGATATTTTTGTAAACAAGTTTATTTCAAAAATATGTTTGAAAAAGTCTAAATATATTTATTTAACTAAAACAAAATTACATGTAATAAAATTTAGCCATGGTTAACATCTTTTATACATTTCAATAATTGATGCACCATAATATTTATTCAAGACTAATATAACGAAGGTTAATTGAATTCAAAATTTAGACAAAAAAACTATGATTAAGGCCACAAATGGTGAATACACTTGTGTATTAAAAGAAGAACCATATGTTTCGTGCTATACACTTGTTTGTGGCATAACATAAGCGCCTAAACAAGAAGGTGTGCAAAATACATGCACATAATATGTGCATTTACAACACAATCAATGTCATATTCACAATATCCCTTGCAAAAAACATGCACACTACCAGTGCAATTACAACACACCCAATGACAATTCAAATCTAAATCTAAATATTGAACACTTGAACTTCTCACCTCATGTCCAACCTCAACAACCGACGAAGCTTGACCCTTATGTTTGGTAGCCCGTACCTAATGATTGGAAAAACATTTGTTAGTGCACATGAAAAGACAATCCATATTCATATATAAGTAAAAAAAACTTACAATTTTGGTTTTCTTTCCCTTTTCAAGTGGTCCCTTAAGGCGATTTTTGCGGGGTGCACCCTTTCTCTGGGAACTTTTCGGGTCAAGAATGGTTTGCGTGAGGGCAGCCTCTACACGTGGGACGGTGTCAGGTAGTTCAGTCATCACACCACAAATAAAAGATTTAGAGATATAGCTTGTATTTTCACGTATTTGGTCCTCTACCCATTGCATCACAATGTTATACTTGTCATCATCATCAACAATGGTGTTGGCTAGTTTTTCAAAAGTCTTGCATAATTGGTGAAATCTAGCTTGTTCCACCGTCGTCACCCAACCGTCGTAATTGATTTTAACGCGTGTGTACGGCCTCTTGAGGTCTCTTCTCCACCTTCTCATGTATGGCTGTCATGATATCATCTTTGTCTACAAGTTCACCCATCTTTTCAGGCAACTTCTTCATTATGTGCCAAAGACTCAATCGGTGCCTTGTGTTTGGGAAAACAATTTGGATGGCATTTTGCATGGCCCTATCTTGATCAGTTATAATCCACATTGGAGCACAACCATCCATACACTCAATCCATGTTTTGAACAACCATACAAATGTTGATGTATCCTCACTAGAAATGATTCCACAACCTAATAACATTGATTGTCCATGATGGTTAACACCAGCAAACGATGCAAAAGTCATGTCATAGCGGTTGGTGAGATATGTCGTATCAAATGTAATCACGTCTCCAAAATCCTTGTATGCATATCGACGCCTATTGTCCGCCCAAAAAACATCACGCAACCGTAACTCTTCATCCAAGTCAATCGTGAAGAAAAAACCTGGACATTGAGCTTGCATTTTTGTAAAAAAACCTTGGATGGCCATTGCATCCCCATCTCCCAATCTAAGTTGTCGAACTTTTTCTATGTAGTTTCTACATTCCTTTTCAATGGAAGGAAGTTGGTCATATCCTCCGGCTTCTACAGCCGCTGAATTGAAAGTTTTACAAAGAGGTATTCCGGCAACGTCATTTATTGTGATTTGATGCATAATCCCCATGGTCAACTTCCTATTACAACAGAATAATCTAGACTTCGTGGGACTCATAGGATGACTATGGTTTTAAAAAACTTGTGATATTACCCATAACCTCGCATAATTTGTCTTTGCTCTTATTCTCACTAAGCACCCATTTTGCATGGAAGGTTGAGGTTTCAAACATTTTTTTGACCTACTACATCTTTTGCTTGCATGTGAGCACTCAACTACAAACGCGATCAAGTTCCCTTTTTTATCCTTCCTTGAAGTGCAGTGTCTAACAGGAAAGCCAACACTTTTGGCATACTTTTTGTAGAAATCATAAACTGCCACTACAAGAAAAAGCATCATTTGCGTTGGAACTTTTAGCGTCGACGTTTGTGGACGCAAATAACGTATAATCTGCGTCGACTAACCGACACAAATAACATTCAACATTGACCCGTGGAAAAGGCTCAATATTTTACGATTTGCGTCAACTTGTAGACGCTAAAAGTAGTCCGAGTTTTTTATTTAACATTAGCGTCGACAATGTGGACGCAAAAAACGAATTTTAAAAATAAAAAAATTACGGCCAAACTTTAGTGTCTCTCCTTCGACGCTAATGACGCTAATGTTAAAACAATTAGCAGAACAAATCATGAGTACGTCTAGGGCATATCTTCTCAAACGAACACAGAACAGCTCAAGGGAACAGGAACGACTCGCCCTTCTCGCCGTATATGCCCTAGGGTAATTCTCTTCCTCCATATTTCAGATTTACGTCCTCTTTCTACCTGTTCTTCAATTGAGAATACCAATTTGAGAATCTACATTTGACTGGTAGTCATTGATGGCCGAAAAAACATTTCATACCTATTTGAAACTTTTCATTTGATTGCTATATATAGTGTTTGATGCTGCTGCTGAAAGAATACTCCGATTCTGAGATCTCGATCTTCTCTTACCTCTAAGAGAAACTCAAACCCTAGGTTAATGTTATTCACCTCATACTTTCAGGTTAGTTCAATGTGTTTTCTCTTTATTTTTAATTAATACATTCTTCACGGTTTCGCTTGCCTTCCAGATCAATTCAATAGCTAGCTTTTGCCTTTATTTGACATGGTCATAGTATGTATTCATGACAAAAAAACAATTTTACTTTTCTTTATGTGGGGAAATACGGATTGCTGATACTAATTTGGAAATTGATAAATTCCACCGTACGTGTTCAGTGTTCTTAATCAAAATATATTGCATGATTCCAAGAATTCAAGATAGCAGCTTGGTGTGTTATGCTTTAACTATTGATGAAAAAGCGTTTTTATATAGTTTGTCTTAATCTGATTAAGGCTAAACTCGCATTGCTTATGCTATAATGTGTAAAATATTATGACTGGAAGTGGGGAAATCTTATACTTCTACATTTTAGTACTTTTTGCTACTTTTGTTTGTAATATGGAATTAATCAATAACAAACTTATGGCCATATATCACCAGAATTTGGAAAGCTAAATTTGTTGTCGTTTTCCCTTTTTGATTTGTATGTCGTTTTCCTTTTTTTGTAGCATATATTTATTCAGATAGTGTTATGGCATGCCTGTTGTTTATTTGAAGAGTTGCAATTGCAATAGCACGAATGATATATATACTAGTGTCACACAATAGATAGATAAATGTGGTGCAAATTAAAGTTTTTATCTTAGAGGATATCAAACATCTGTTATAATAAGATGATTGGCTTGGTAAGCAAACTTTAATACTACCTATATCTTTAAAACTTAAACCAACTATGTATTTTTATTGAAAATTATTTATAATATAAAAATGATATGAAAAAGATCTTTGTTAAAACTACTTTCATAAAAGTATAAAATTTATTACTTTCATAATATTATACTAATCACATGATCCAAACTTAAAGAGATAACAAAGATTTTAGGGACATAGGTAGTATGGCCAATGAACATCATTCTCTTTTGTACCAACTTCTCCGATCACACAGGCCTGACCTTTCTTTTTGGCATCTCGACCAGCAGTTGCAGCACTGTGTAGATGATAAGAAGACGAAACAAGTTGCTTGACAGAGATTAAACTCTCTGCATAACCACAGGAAATACAAAGGGTAGAGTATTTTTGATTAAAAGGTTTACCGCATTACTAAAATGGATTTGTTGATAGAAACAAACTGTATTACTACATCACACTTCTATTTCATACTATGGAGTATATTTCAGTTATGTGTAATTTGAAACTATGTTTTAGCTGGACTCTTTGAAAAGTGCGCTGACATTTACATTAACAATGAAGTCTCTAAAGTCTAGTCACATTAAACACTTTCCTCTCACTGGTTATTTCAGATGCTAAATTTAGGTTATCGCTTAGGATGCTAACAATAACTTGTGTTTTGTTTGCCCGGATCTGAAATTTTAATGTCAAGTGACGATTTGAATAAATTAAGCCCCAACCGGTACATTGTAAAACATAAAGAAACTGAATAAATTTTAATTGCTTGTTTCAATTAATCCCCACATGGGTAGAGACTTTGGAACTTAAAGTCTTAATTGTTTTGCAAAGAAATCCGCAAAAACCACTTATGAGTAAAATAAGTATTATATGAATAGCAATAGGTAATGTGGTGTCATTTCAGACCTGTATAGTGCTATTTGTGACAACATGTCGAGGCAAATAATATATTTTAAAAAAAGACTGATCGGTTTTAGCGTTGGTTAGTGGACGCAAATGATGGCATTATTTGCGTCGACGAGTGGACGCAAATAAATAATCGCTTTTTGCGTCGCCTTTATGCATGATTACTTCCGGAAGATGTTTTTGGTCCATATGGCGACGCGAATAAGATTTTAGTAATTGCGTCACACATTGTGGACGCAAAAACAATATTTGCGTCGAGCCTTTTGCGTCGAGCCATTTGCGTCGACATGTGGACGTAAAAAACGTATTTGCGTCAACTTTTGCTCTTTTGTGTCGGCTTTTTGTCGTCGCAAAAAACGTTTTTTCTTGTAGTGTGCATCTTTTGTAGGAAACTCCATGCCTATCTTTGAAATTTGTTCACATTCATCAGCATTGTTATCTCCATTTGTTCACATAATCAAATAATTATTTTACATTAACCCCTTCATAGATAAAACAATCATCTTTGCAGGTATACATTATTGTAGTAGGGTATATATTAACAATATTCATAGATAAAATCAT